AATAGAGTGACTATAGGACACACTTTCATACAATATATATAGTTAGGGGGTCCCCGCTCCATCTCGCCATCAGTTTGGGGGTCCTTGGTCTGGAAAACATAGAAGACCCCTGTTCTTGAGGGTTTTACTATCCATGTAACTTGTTTGTTAAACCTGCCTGGTATAATTTTCCAGGATTCCAGTATTCCTTTTTAGTATGTATTGAAATGGAATTTCAAATGGAAAAAATTATAAAAAAAAAAAAAAAAAAAAACATTTGCACCTTAAAGACTACTTTCCTATTTTTCTTTTAATAATTACTCATAAAAAAAAGACCATTCAAGCAGCACATTTTTTCTGATGTTTTTGAGAATATACTGTAGGGGTGAAAGCTGCAGCTGCTACTAGTGTGAAGTGAATGGACAGCAACAAAGCGTTAAAGCAACAATGGGGAAATGCTGTCCCCTAAATGCTAATGTAAACCCTGGTTGGATAAGGATTCAAAACTGGATATGAAGATTAAATCCGACGCACAGTTTCAGAGTTATAACTGATAAAATAATTGCTGTCCGTGGTTCTACAGTAGGCTATGGTGTAATTGAGCAATATATGAAAAAAAAAAAAGAACTATGAACTAGTTCACGTAGAAAGAGAACTTTCCCAACACTGTGTATAACAGTTTACAATATGATACAAAATAAAATAATATTTCCTGATACATATAATAAAGTATAAGATGATACAATAAAAAAATAGTAAAATACAGTATGATATAATAGAATATATGTAATAGGATGGAACAGTATGATATGATAAGATATGATAAGTAGGATACAATATTATATATTACAACTAATATGCTGTGTGATACAGTACTATACAATTTGATTCAGTGACACAATTATGAAATTACTGATTTATTGGGGGAAAAAAATGCATCACAGATTCAAAGAAGCAAGAGTTTGAATCATTTTGAAAATATTATTGTTAATTATGTCTTTATTTATTGTTAGGGTCAGGGTTCTTATGTGGTTCTCTCTCAATTTGTTACAACACAATACAAAAATCTGTTGGAAATAAAAGGACAAAAATGTCTGTTTGGATTCATTGATTTGGTTTAGCCTCATGTTTTTTGATGACATCTTTTTTTAATTTTTACTCTGCTTAAGAAAAAAGATTTAAAAAAGAAAAAAAAACATCATCAGCTTGAGACGCTTCCACTAGAGAAAAAAAAATTTTCACACATGTTCATTATTACTCCTGTCCAAACATTCTTATGTTTGTTTTTTTTTCTTCTTTTTGGTAAACCGAGCATTACCAGAATCACTTATGGCCTCCACTGTAAAAGCCAAGCCAGTAGAGGACTCCATGTCCATTGGATGAACTCTGCTGCTCTAAACCTAACCATGAATAGAGATTTTTTTCCCAGTTTTTGTTCTAAATTACTTCTTTTTCTACCTAAATGACTCTTTCCTGGAGCTCACCCTCAGAAGAAGGAGTCTTCTGTCACTTTGTGTCCCTTTAAATTCCTTTAAAAGTATCACCCTTCCAGTTTACAGATATTGTCTCACTAGATCTGTCATCACAATGCATGGCTGCTCGGGATGACCTGGCGGATCATGTTCTCCCACCCAACCGATTCAATGGAGCTGAAATCTTGCACCTGCAACTGGAGTTGGTTTCCTTGTTTTGGTTACAATAGCAAAAGAGTTCCCATTAGGAGTTCCGCTTCTCCCCAGGGGCTTATTTTCCCCAGTTTGTCGGGGTGTGACGTTTTCACGATTTGCTTTCACACCTCGTCCTCGTTTTCTGGGTCAGCAAATGTAAACATCTCTGAAATCTTTCACCTCACCCTGAACGTCTTTGTGGGAAGGTAGTAGACGGGTGTGTTTGACGTCTGCTGTTTGAACAGAGGCTGCTAACTTTCCTCGGCAGAACCGGGAACCTTTTAGAAGTTTTCCAAAAGGAATATTTTCTTTAAAAGGCCTGTGGTTATTTAATAAATCCCTTGGTTTGTAGATAAGTCCTCGGGGATCTCATTCTCCAATCCTCCCATTCTTTGGTTTTTGGAGTTGTTTTGGAATATTTGGTTGAGTGATGAATGCTCCGTTGAGGACACAAAAGCACACACACTTCACTTTTCCACAATATTTAGAAAAGAATGTAAGTTTGATTTAGGGCTGCAGTTCATTACAGAGGACGGAAAAATGAAACCAGGTCCAGATAGCGGCTGATGCGAAGAGCTGGCGTACATGATGAACAAAGAGCCGGATTGGCTTTAGAGAGCTACCAAAACCCCGGACAGGGAAAAAATCTGGAAATTTATTAGGAATTCTTCACATAAATAGCATCAAATAAATCCAAATATACCAGTCTACAAACCTCTGACACAAAACTTTAAGCTTAGGCATGAATCTTGCAGACGGTGACAATATGTCAGATTATATAACAAAAAATAAACCTGGAAACACTCATAAAGACTCAAACACTCATGTGTTTGAAATCTAAAATAGATAAGAGGAATTAGAGGAAAGTAAATTTGGTTTTTTTGTTTATAACACCCGTAATTTATGATTTTTGACTTGGATTCTTCTTTAAACAGCAAATCCACAGAACCTAAGCTGTGTTGTCCTAATTCTGCGTGATTGTTTAAGAACAATCAGAATTCACTATACAGTGGGGCAAAAAAGTATTTAGTCAGCCACCAATAGTGCAAGTTCTCCCACTTAAAAAGATGAGAGAGGCCGGTAATTTTCATCATAGATATACCTCTATGATGAGAGACAAAATGAGAAAAAAAAATCCAGAAAATCACATAGTTTGATTTTTAAAGAATTTATTTGCAAAATATGGTGGAAAATAAGTATTTGGTCAATAACAAAAGTTCATCTCAATACTTTGTTATATACCCTTTGTTTGCAATGACAGAGATCAAACGTTTTCTGTAAGTCTTCACAAGGTTTTCACACACTGTTGCTGGTATTTTGGCCCATTCCTCCATGCAGATCTCCTCTAGAGCAGTGATGTTCTCGGGCTGTCGCTGGGCAACACAGACTTTCAACTCCCTCCAAAGATTTTCTATGGGGTTGAGATCTGGAGACTGGCTAGGCCACTCCAGGACCTTGAAATGCTTCTTACGAAGCCACTCCTTCGTTACCCGGGCGGTGTGTTTGGGATCATTGTCATGCTGAAAGACCCAGCCACGTTTCATCTTCAATACCCTTGCTGATGGAAGGAGGTTTTCACTCAAAATTTGATGATACATGGCCCCATTCATTCTTTCCTTCACACGGATCAGTCATCCTGGTCTCTTAGCAGAAAAACAGCCCCAAAGCATGATGTTTCCACCCCCATGCTTCACTGTAGGTATGGTGTTCTTTGGATGCAACTCAGCATTCTCTCTCCTCCAAACACGACAAGTAGAGTTTTTACCAAAAAGTTCTATTTTGGTTTCATCTGACCATATGATATTCTCCCAGTCATCGTCTGGATCATCCAAATGCTCTCTAGCAAACTTGAGACGGGCCTTGACATGTACTGGCTTAAGCAGGGGGACACGTCTGGCACTGCAGGATTTGAGTCCCTGGCGGCGTAGTGTTACTGATGGTAGCCTTTGTTACTTTGGTCCCAGCTCTCTGCAGGTCATTCACTAGGTCCCCCCGTGTGGTTCTGGGATTTTTCCTCACCGTTCTTGTGATCATTTTGACCCCACGGGGTGAGATCTTGCGTGGAGCCCCAGATCGAGGAAGATCATCAGTGGTCTTGTATGTTTTCCATTTTCTAATAATTGATCCCACAGTTGATTTCTTCACACCAAGCTGTTTACCTATTGCAGATTCAGACTTCCCAGCCTGGTGCAGGTCTATAATTTTGTTTCGGGTGTCCTTTGACAGCTCTCTAGTTTTGGCCATGGTGGAGTTTAGAGTGTGACTGTTTGAGATTGTGGACAGGTGTCTTTTATACTGATAACGGGTTCAAACAGGTGCCATTAATGAAGGTAACGAGTGGAGGACAGAGGAGCCTCTTACAGAAGAAGTTACAGGTCTGTGAGAGCCAGAAATTTTGCTTGTTTGTAACTGACCAAATACTTATTTTCCACCATATTTTGCAAATAAATTCTTTAAAAATCAGACAATGTGATTTTCTGGATTTTTTTTTCTCATTTTGGCTCTCATAGTTGAGGTATATCTATGATGAAAATTACTGGCCTCTCTCATCTTTTTGAGTGGGAGAACTTGCACTATTGGTGGCTGACTAAATACTTTTTTGCCCCACTGTATGTAAGATAAGGAATGTTAGATTTCTTTCATGATCTATTCCACCAGTGTTTGTAGATACGAGTTATAAAACGCCTTACAGCATAACTAGAGTTGATGGCATTATGAATATTATTTTGTGTCTTGCTGCCTGGGGTTTCACATCTCCTCTTGTATGCTTTTCTTTTCTTTGGGTACTCCACCTTCCTCTGACAGCTCCAAAAACATCGATTGCTGAGTTAACCGAGACCCATACTACGAAGCGAGCTCAACGTAGAGGGATTACTCCCAGTTTAACCAATCCAAAACAATGGCAAACAGTACCAGGAGGCTGGTTATCAACTCCCTAACTCAACCCAACTAGGACAGGTTGCAAATCTGTCAACGCACACGTATAAAGGGCGGGTTCAGGACAGCGCACCAATCACAATCATGATCGCAGAAGGCAGAGCGCCATAGTTCTCATGAGAGGAACAGAATTCATTTTACAGAAGTCAAAAATGGTGGCAGCATGAATGAGACACACAGAGGCATTTGACACAGTCTGCATATCTAATCCTGGAGTGGCATACAGTTATTTGAAGACAGTGTTCCTCACTCTGGAAAAAAGCCCAAACACAAATCCCTGAGGAACTCCTCTGGTTTCTGCATATTTTATCCTTTCTCTGAAGAAATCAGTGAGGTTAAGCATTTTTGGATTAAACAGAAGAAATGTCTATATTCTTTGTTGTCTAACAAGTGTTTTCACCTTCCTTTTTTTTTAAGGAATCGTTCGAGAGAAGGCTCACAAATCGGAGAGCATGCTGCAGTCCATCTCCACCACCAGGCTCTCCGTCCAGCACCATCTCTGGTAGGTTATCTGCGGTTCTTTGTTTTTCTCTGGATACTCCAACTTCCTCCAACAGCCCAAAACAAGACTGTTTGACTTTAGTTCACCTTTGTTCAACCATGGCTGTTAGTTCTTTTTTGCTATTGTGACCATTGATCTGTCATCCATCCATCCATCTAACTTTTGTGACTGTTATTCGTGTTTTAGCCCCAAAGTGTCACTCAAATTTAATTCAGTTTTGTAGGGAAAACGTTCCAAGACTGCAGCATTTCTGACACATCTTTACTTGATTACAATTAGCTCTGCTTAGACTCTGTTTGGTGAAACCGCTTCACTAAATTAGCTGGTAAACCGCATTTTAATTTGTAACATGTGTGTTTGCGTGTCTAACCATCCAACAACCCCCCCCCCAGTAGTTTGTATTCGCCACCAATCTATATTTGTTATACCTTTTAATGGTGTCTCAAACGAAACAGAAGGCAGGCCATTTTTCCCCAAGCCTTTCTTGTTTATATGAGTGTCTTTATGGATCTTTAATCATAAAAGTATGATTCCAAGGAAAGAAAGTTCACCATCCTGTAGCAATCAAAGGGTTTTATCCATACTGACATGTTGTGTATACTCCCAAAACAGTCTTGACGGAAAGGTGTTTCATTCGATTTGAACAAATCCCTCCAAAAAAAAAACCCAAAAAATGTATTTCTGACAGATGTTCCTGCCTCTGCCCTGCAGAGCCTCGTTGGTGCGTCCATTTACAAACACACAACAAAATGCCTGACATTTCTTGCAGTTTCTCATCTGGTTTTTAGCTCCGAGTCTCAACAATCAAAGGCGAAAAGAAAAACAAATCTGAACAAACTCCTTTATGTGCTCCGAGGCAGCTAACCGCAGCTTCAGAGCACCACCCCCCCAGTGTTTGCGCAACACAAGTTCTGTCAGGCGTTATTATATCAATTATCCCCTTTGTTCTTCTGCTAATGAGAAATACGTCCAACACGTTGGGTGCTCACATCTTTCTGACGTAGCTGCACCTGCCAGCTCATTCATCTAAGGAAGAATCCGTGGGATGTGTCTGAATATTTATGAGGACTTCTCCTTTTCTTTTGATCTGTCAGGCCTCTCGTGTGCGAAGACATCCAGGCAGATGTGGAGGACGGACAGCTGCAGTTCTTCTACGTCCTGGCGTTCGTCCTACGAGGTGACTTTTTTTTCCCCCTCAAACCTTTAACGATCTTCAGACGAGGCGCTCCATCTCTGCCAGATATCTTCTCTGTTATCACTCAGGAAATCTGCTTTCATCAGTTCCTTTTTTTTTTTTTCATTCTTTCCGAGGCCCATTTGCAAGATGTTGGTTTGTTATGGGAACAGTGAGATTTCGGGACACACGTCAAGTGTATCGACATGCAAGGTTTGATTCTGGGTGAAAACCGGTCGCAAATAAACCATTTCCACAAAGCTGAAGAGAAGCAGAGGTCATGCATGTATGCATGTTTTATAGTTTATTTGAGATGTGGGAAAAGGAAAACTTTGATTCCTTTCTCAAGAGAGAAATGAAGACAAACAGTAACGTCTTTGAGCAAATAAGTCTAGATGTTGAGGCAAAAAGCATGAAGGGATAGCTGAACATGTAGTAGAATCGGTGGAAACAATCAGTGCTAAAAGTTAAAGCTGAAGCAGATCCGGACCACACAACATCACTACAACCCCCAAAATGTACCAGTAAATCCAGCAAAGACTGGCTGGGTATAAAAGAAATTGGGAATATATGGATCTAATCAAAGCCGCAATGCCCTTGACATGGAAAAAGTGGATGAACTTCCCTTAGGCTGCAATGTTGGTTTGTTCATGAACATGTCATTGAAATGAACTAAACATTTGTGTGACTAAACTAAATCAAATCACATCTATTAACTTATTTGTTACTTTATCCAATTAGTTCAAATCAGCAATCGCAAGCTGGTACGGAGGGAGTTCTTCTGGAATACCTGAGCTAATGGCTAAAGTTAGCATGGAATACCTCAGAGCGAATAACTAAGACTATCTAGGAATAGTTCAGAGCGTTTTTTTCTTTTTTTTTCAATCATTGCACGCAGCTACTGCTCACACTGTACAGTGAGTTCACAGCTCACGATGTATGTACAGCACGATCTCATGCGATTTACCTGCTCACACTGTGCGACTAAAAACCACTGCGGACTCAGCTCCGCAGTGAGCTGGAGCTCTGCTCTGTAGCTCTCTATCCTGAAGCCAAACAAATAAAAGGGGAATATGAAGCTCACTACAATGAAACGTGCTGCCTTGGCAATTTGTGCAATTTTGTGCTGAAAGCCCTGAAAATAAAAGGCAGCGACGTATTTGGACAAAGACATGGCTGAGCAAACGTGGCTACTACGGTCTGTCAATTTTACAGAAAGAATGCCATTTCACTCGCACCGCTGCCATGCTTCTGTGTTTACATCTGCAAGGAAGAAGAAATAGAAGAGTCCTTGTTTGCGCACTGAGCGATTTGCCCAGGATGGTCTGGAGAAAATCAAACATGTTTTGGTTTTCTCCCGACCTCACGATTCCTGATCAGCAGGTGGTCGTGAGAGGCTGATCGCCCCTCGTAACCCTCTGTACACTACACGACTCAAGACGCACGATCAGGCTGAAAGTCGGCCCAATCGAAAAATTCTCGCACGACCAGTGTTGGGCACGTTACTTTGAAAAAGTAATTCGTTATAGTTACTAGTTACGCCTACCAAAAAGTAACTGAGTTAGTAACTCAGTTACTCCACAATAAAAGTAACTAGTTACTAGTAAAAGTACTTTTGCGTTTCTCGCCCCGGTAACCCTCACCACCCAGCCCCCACCTTCTCGCCGTGTGTTTCTAAAGCCAGCTTAATAGAGCGGACGACAAAGACAAGAACCTGCAGAGTTTTGCATTTATTGCAACTCAACGTAAATGACATCGGGGGGAACGCGATGTGAAGTTTTTTAACAGGGCACTCAGATCTGGTGAGTTTATGAAATTAATAACTGGGGATGTCTAATTCTGAAATCCTGTGTGTTTGGGTTGTTATAGATACTGCAACATCTATCTATCCATTTATCTATCTAGATCTATACTCTGTGTGTGACATAAAATATGGATCTCCATCCCTGCCACAAAGGCCATCAAATAATGTTTAGAATAAAAAATACAGTACGTTGAAAAGTATCCATCCATCCATCCATCCATCCATCCATCCATCCATCCATCCATCCATCCATCCATCCATCCATCCATCCATCCATCCATCCTTCCATTCCTTCCATCCATCCATCCAGATTTCTCCTTTTCTCCATATAGACTAACATTTGATCGTTCACGCTCTCCATAGTTCCCCTGTGGTGCGAGCACAGGGCGACTGTTATGCGCCTTTAGCGAGCATGCTCGTTTCCTGTCGCTTGCGCTGTGAATCGTGCCGCCTGCGCTGTGCGGAGATGCAGGGGAAACCGTATGTGATGGGGAAACGCAGCTCGTTGTAACACCGGTATTTCCATCTGGAAAACGCTGTTTTGCTGCTGGAGTCCTCCTCACTTTCCATCTCTCTGTGTGTGCTGTACGTTAACACCCGCTAACAAAAACACCCACCTACCCAACTGACAGACGGAATCTCACTATACATCAGCCATTCTCATCCTCTCCTCTCTCATGACAAGGCGCGCACGAGTCCTTTCATGAAAAAAGGTTCATTGTGCGACCTGAGTAACGCGCAGTAACGGGGTGTCTGCAATAATAACTGCGTTATGGTTACAGTCAAAGTAATTAGTTAGATTACTCGTTACTAAAACAAGGTAACGGCGTTAGTAACGCCGTTACTTCCATCACTGCGCACGACTGGAAAATCACCCCGAAAATCGCACAGTGTTCGCGCGGCTTAATATCCTGGAAAGCCTCAGAGCTACCAGCTAAAGTTAGCCTGCAACACCTCATAGCTAATGGCTGAAGTAATCTTTAAACAGGTCAGAGCTCAGAGATAATTCAGGCATAAGTTAGCCTAAGTTAGGCTTAAGTTAGCCTACAATATCTCAGAGTTGATGACTAAGGTTATTTTGGAATAGCTCAGAACTAACACTTAAAATTAGCTTGGAACACCTTGGAGCTAACGGCTAAAGTTAGCCTGAAACACCTCCAATCTAAAAATCAAAATCAGCTGGAAATACCTTAGAGCTAACGGCTAAAATTAGCCTGGAATAACTCAGCTATCAACTAAATTTAGCCTGGAATACCTCAGATATGATGACTAATCTGACTTATCTTGGAATAACTCAGAGCTTACCGGTACAGGTAAATTTACCCTGAAATACCTCCAAGCTAAATGCTAATGTCATCTAAAATGGTTGAATCTAGCTTCTCCAAGCTCTCCTACTAAACAGAGAAATGCTGCAGAGGAGGGATTCCCCCTGAAGTGCTGACTGTGATTCACTTACGCTAAGAATTAAGAATATTTCATGCCACTAATTCCCTTAAACTATTATGTTTTGTTTTTTGGCCTGAATTTAAACCCAAGTCTTAAATTCCCAGCAGTATTCGAGGTTAAAGCTTTAGGACAGACTTTATGGAAGTTAAATGTTATCCTAGATGCACATATAAGGTTTTAATGAGCAGTCACGTCATATTAAACAAACAGCTCTATAGCATAATCATCCAACTGTTGTGCTCAACAATCATATGACTTATATTCATGTGAAAAGCAGGTTGTTTTTTTTTACTTGCTCCATAAATCTCCTAGATTGTATAAAAACTATATTTTACTTTCTTCACCGGGTTTCTCTGATTTAAGCAGAAGTGCTCAAGGAAACATCACTAACCAGGAGTTTAATCTTAATAATAAAGCTGTTGATACAACAAAATCGCCCAACAAATCGTGAAAATCCACAAAAACCCTCCAGGAAATGCAAACAAGGTTTTTCCCCTCACACTTCTCATTTACTAGATAAAATCTTTGCACATGCTTCAGAATATTGATCTATCTCCAAGAATCTTCACCTGTTTGGCCTCAGGCTTGCACAGAAGCCTGATCCAAACAAGAACCTTGAGGAGCGTGAAGTCCTACGTAGTCTGATGATGTTTTAGATTAAAGGACTGCGTTAGCTGAACCAGGAAAATAGAGTCTATCCATCCATTCATAATGAATGAATGGTATGTTGGTTTAAGGCGTCCATCCATATACTGGAACCAGCAGTCTAGCCACACCCACCAGTCCACCCACTGATTCCTCCCTTTTTTTTTTCTCAGAATCCATTTTTAAAACCTGACCACCACAGAAATCCCTACCATAAACTCATTGTGAACTTTTCCATTTATTGTTTTGAACTTAGTACCAAAAAGTTAGGAGAATTTGGGTGTGGAAAAGGGTGGAACTTGTGAAAATGTTGGCAAGAAAAAAAACAAATTGATAAAAGCCATTGTTATCCTTTATAATAATTGTAAAATTGACTAAAGGAAAAAGATTACAAACAAGAAAAAGGGGCGCTTCCTTTGATCTCCCCTCAATCTATGGCAAGAAGGGCCAGAAAAGATGGAAAACAGGAGGTGATTTGCGGCCAGCCGCTGACGTGAGCCGCTTGTCAACAGGCCACACTGACCTTTGCCAATAAATGAGGCAGAAATATACTGTTTAGACTCAGTGGCTTGACAGATGACTGTATTTGCATGCGTGCGGTTAGGGACCAAATGTGTTGGTGCTGCGGGGCGCACGTCAGCTCCGGCCTGCTATGCTCTCTGCTCTGCGCCGAGGTGGCTGGCCCAACACAGCTGAGCCTGTCTGTGGAATTTCAGCTGGCCCAGTTCTAACACGTCCCGATCTGCCTTCTTATTTCTGCTTGTTACAGTTTCTGACATGCAAAGCAATAAGTATGCGACTGAAAGGCATTTAAGGAAACTTTTTAAACATCATTGACCCGTAAGTGTTCACAAGGAAGAAGATAAAATCAGCTTTATGTCGTTTTTTTTACCTCTAGGCTGAAAAAAATGCCATCAAATAATAGGTTTGTTACATTTAGGGCCGAACGATTTTTGCCAAAAATTAAAATTGCGATTATTTTTAACTAAAATTGTGATTTTTGGTTAAAAATAATCAAAATTGTGATTGCGATTTTATCTCGATTTCACCAAACTTGTGGGGTTTTTCCACCCCGGCTTTCAGTTTTTGAAACCTTGGTGGCCCAAAGTCTGTTGTTGTAGGGCTTTGTAGTCTTTGTGTGAAAAATTCTACCTGCGTGCACGGACCTGCCTACTAGCTGTGTGGCGACAAACCCACTTCAAGTGTTTTACTTCCATCTAAAGGGCTGGAGTGATAAATGTTGTCTCTTGCTTTTGTCAAATATAGTGTGATTGAAATTGAGTACTTTTGCAAATTGACAATTGCGTTTGGTTAAATTGTGATTATATTGCAAATGCAATTAATTGTTGAGCCCTAGTTAAGATTCCTACAACATTAAACTAAAAGTAATAAGAAAAATCCCTGTGTTTGCAGGTTGGTTTAGATTAAGGGTGTGCAAAATAATCGTCATGACGATGCATCGCGATTCTAATTTTTGTGATCTACTGCATCGGTTCTTGAAGGCAAGAATCGATTATTAAAAAAAACAAAAAATAACAAATAAAATACATTAATGGTTGGCACACATCAGCCAAACCAAGTGGAATACAACTTCCAGTCCAGCAGATGTCGCTGCGGATGTGTTGATGCCCGCTGCTTTGTGTCACAAGCATGTCCGGCCGTGGGATACTGCGACGAGTCATATGAAATAAAACATGGAGGACACTATGAAAACTCGCCCCGCGGCTCCATCACATTTCAAGTCAGATGCTTGGATGCATTTTGGCTTTAAAAACAAAGAAGGTAAAAATGAAATTGCTATGACGCACATCATTTGCAAAAGGGGAAATGTATATTTTAATGTTTTCGTTTCATTGGTTTAAAGCAGCGGTACATAACCTTTTTTGCACCACGGACCGCTATTAGTCAGGTAATATTTTCGCGGACCGGGGGGGTGGGTAATACGGTACCAAAATCTATGGATTTTACCATCCACCATGTTGACGTGACATTTGCTTCAACACACAAGTAGCCGCGCGTGCAGGAATGTGGACGTCTTCCGGAAGCAGACTCCGAGAAAGACGGACATTGCGAGCGCAAGACAGCTTGTGTGATACCCTCATTATGGAAAACAAACGTTGAAATGCATATGATGCAGCTTTTAAGTTAAAGGCAGTCAATTTGGCAGTAAACGAAGGAAATAGAACCGCTGCATGTAACCTTGGAATCAAAGAGTCAATGATGAGACGTTGGAGACGCCAGCAGGAAGAATTTTCTCAATTCAATTGTGTTGAAATGTTAATAAATAGGAGCTTCCCCAAACAGTTGCCTCTTTCCCAACAATCCTCTCTGAGCACCAACCATATGGTAATTAAACATTAAAAAAACCTGCGGCTTATAGTCTGGTGCGACTTGTATATGTACAAATCATGCAATTTAGCTTCTGCGGCTTATATTCAAGTGCGGCTTATAGTCCGAAAATTACGGTATATCTTGAGTTCATAACCCGTAGAAACAGTTTTCATCTAAACTAAATTTTTCACATTTTACAGAAAAAAAGTCCTTTATTAATCTTTTTTTTTGCTTGCCCAGGCACCACACAGGCATCTGGCCAGTGCTTTAAAACTTTGTTTTCCCAAAGTCATGTCTTAATTGGTGACGAGGACGTAAAAAATTTCCATTAAAAAAACATAACTTATGGTTATTATTCATAAGTCTTATTATTATTCATAGTCGTATTGTCGAGAGTCTTTTATTCTACCATCCAGCATGTACTTCAAAGCCCTTTAAGGTGGTAAAACATGAGAGAAATACCCCGGAATTTGTGCATTGACTCAGTCAGTGATACAGTGGCACTTGTTTTTGATTCTTTAACGATTCTTAAAATAAAGAACGTCGTCATTAGTCAATGTGGTTATCAGCAGGTCAGAAATTAATGGAAAAATGACCAGAGCTGTAATCTACTTTTAGACTCTAGATTTTTATTTTTTTTTTATTGAACCTGAGTTTTTTTCAATGTCAGATAGTCGGGTTCTCAGCTTTCTCATTCAGATTTGAAGCTAGTTTGTTAAAATGTTTTAATACGTAGCCCCTTTTTGGCATCTTTTTCCATTATTACATTAGTTTTAAGGCCAAATCTGGTCAGTATGTCATAGTCTGGATTTAATCCAGAAATAGATGTCGAAAATCGGGCTGTGTTTGGTCAGCCTGATTTTGTCCCATTTTAGTCCGATATAGACTCTGAAAGGTAACTTCACTGATATGAAAGTTAGAGCTTTTTATCTTTCACTTTACAACCAAACGTAGTTGTTGTTTGGACGTAAAAGATGTTGTCTTTTCAACAAATTTTTGCTTGTCAGGTTTGCTTCTTCCAGCACATGTTTTGGTTTCTGTCACGTTCCTTTGAATAAAGAAGGTTGTCTTCTGTCAACGTGGTAATCCGCAGGTCAGACATGAATGATAATAGGGCTCTAATTTTTGCATCTCTACATCCATTGTATCCGTTGTTTTGTCTCCTTTCAGTCTTTGCTTCTTCCAGCTCTTTTTTGGTTTCTGTTATGGACCTTAGAATAAAGAACGTCATTATCTGTCAACATGGTAACCAGAGCTCTAACTGTTGCATTTCTATTTCCAGAGTTTTTAATTGGACCTTGATTTGTTAAATATTTCTGTATTTAGTCTTTGATAGTCCTGTACTTGTTTTTTATCAAGTTGGGAGCTATTTTGGTCTAAGAAATTAGTTTAAATGGCTTATTTTAGCAATTTTTTCCCCCCCATAAAATCCCAATTTTTGGATTCTTCCGTGTATCTGTTCCTACATCCCCTTTTAGTCTTTCCTTTTTCCAGCCTGTGTTTTTGTTTCTGTTATGGTCCTTAGAATAAAAAAAACAACCTTATCAATCAACATTGTAATCCACAGGTCAGACTCAGACTTGTTCTTGATCAAGTTGAGAGCTAGTTTAAGCTAAGAAGTTTCTTTAAGTAGCTTGTTTTGCTTATTTTTTTCCATAAAATCCCAGATTTTTGGATTCTTCCCTTATCCATCACCACATCCTTGTTTAGATCTTTGCTTTTTCCAAGTTAAAAATACTATAGAATAACCATTAATCTATATTAAACTACATTATACTTTATAAATGGAGTGAATATTTTCTTCTAGATGAGAGCTGGTTGTCTCTGACCGTCCTGGCGACCCGAGAAACCCTCTATCTTCTGGAAGAAGACCACCAGTGGAGCAAAACCAGCTCAGCAGTAACTGAAAACAGCGAAGCATGTAGCGGAAACGTGGTGGTGATTGAAACTCTCCCAATCAGCTGCGTGAGCTCAGTGGTTTTGTTGCCCTCGGACCAGCACAGGATGGACATTAAGCTTTTTGACGAGGTTAGTATATCCTGAGGAGTCTTTTTGTTTGCAGTCGCTGATGCAGACGAGACAATCAGACCCAGCTGCCACTCAGACTCTTCCTTCCACTTCATCAGAAAGACATAATGAAGGGAAAAGGTCGCCTGAGGTTGCAGAAGCTCAACATTCATTTAAAAAAAACAACTTCTTTTTCTACCTGACTCGGCTGATGTTTCAATGAAGTTTTAACTTCATCATGTCGTGTTCTCATGTTTTCTGCAGACTATGAAACAGGAGAAGACATGGTGCGTGCGCTTAGAGAGCGCGGAGCTCCTTCAGGGTCTGTTATCCTGGGTCAGAACGCAGTGGGAGGCCATGTTCGGAGTCAAGCTGCAAACAAGTCTGCAAGACGACCCGTCATGATGGGGAAAAAAAAAAGAAAAAGAACTGCTGAAGTTTTATGCTTTAATTGTGTGTTTGTTTTCAGGCGGGGGTGGGGAACATGAGCGAGCATGAACGACGGTGCATCTTTGTTTTCTCTGCATTCAGTCTGGTCCCATTACGCTTTGTAGCTCTAAGCCAGGAGCTTGGAAGTGATTGCATTCATTCATGTGGTACACAAGGAAAAAAAAAAAAAGAAAATATCCTGCTTGCATAACTTCTCCAGGAAAAAAGAAAACATCCCCGGTGAACTTTTCCACCACTGAATCGAAGTGCGCCTTGCTTCTTTGTGAAGATGTCATGTCCTCGTCTTGTGATGGATCTAAATGCACGTAATTTTGTTCCAAGATCACCCGTAGCGTTAAGCAAATGGAGGGCAGCGCTCCGCCGCCGTCTTGGCTGCGTCGAGCTGAAAAAGATGCAGAGGAAAGAACCTGATTCTACGTTAGGGTCTAGTTCATCTGCAAATTATTGCTATCAGAAGATTTAACCTAATTTTAGTTTAGATACTCATCAGCGCCATCTTTGTGACAGTTTGAAATGTCTTCCCCAGCTGTTACAGAGGTGCAAATTCAGGTTTATGTTTCCACTGTGATGTGACATTAAGTAATAGGTGTTTTTTGCCTTTATGGATAAATACAACAAGCTGACTTTTATTTTTCTATAAATCTCCCGTGTGTGTACTTGGATTAATAAAAAAAAAAAAATTTTTGTTTGTTCTGTTGCATGTCCTTGAACGATTTCGCTGGTTCCTGTTGCAAATTTATAAAACAGACGCATCTTGTTTAGCGATGATCCCACTGATGGACTCATGATGGCCGCTTTTGGAGGGAAAAATCAACTCGGTGCTGAAATTTCTCGAAAAGTGGGTTCCTTTTATCCCGTTTGATGCAGATTAATCATCACATGTTTTACATTTTAATGGTTTTAGTCATCATCTTTATTTTCATGTCTGCTCTTGCTGTTTGGGGAGGTTTGAATTATGTGAAGGGGCTAAAACTCCACAAGGACTTTTAATCTTGACTTGATACTTGTTCAGGCAGAGTTACTTGAGCGTGATTGATGCTAACATTTTTTAGAGAAGCCAAACCAAACCGCCTGGCATTTATTGAAAAGGGCTTCAGTGAAAGACAGTACCTTTACTTTTTTTATCATTTAAAGGTTAGTTATAAGGACTGGAAAGGAATGTGGCTAGAAATTATTTTTTAAATTTAACTTGGATTTGAGATAAAAGCACTTGCTTTTGACTAATAAAGATGCTTGTCACTCCAGAGGAAAGCCTGTCCCCAGAAGTGAAGAGAATATGATGTGTAGAACGCAATTTTAAAATTCAATTTCACTTCACTTTCAATTCAGTTTATTTATATAGCGCCAAATTCACAACACATGTCATCTCAAGGCACTTTACAGTTCAACCAAATCATACAGTCAAATTGATACAAAGTTTTCTATCTAAGGAAAACCAGTTGATTGCATTGACTCATTGACTTGGATGCAATCCCTCACACTAAGCATGCTTGTAGCGACAGTGGAGAGGAAAAACTCCCTTTTAACAGGAAGAAACCTCCAGCAGAACCAGGCTCAGTGTGAGCGGCCATCTGCTGAGGCCAACCGGGGTTCAAAAGAATGCAGTTCTTTAAAACTCAATCTGAAAAAGAGAAATTTGAAAATATAAAATCTGTAAATAAGATCGTACAGATGGGCACTGATGAGTCAGTATAAATTAGTATACTTCAATGTAAACTTAAAGTGGGCCAATTGAATCCCAAGAAGTACTTTTTTGTGGCTAATATATTTGGATCAATTAACTTGGTAGACTTTGGACGTATATGTATAAAAATTAACCTTAAAGGTATTGTGGAGGATTTTTGCGAATTTAATGCACAACCCTGTACCCGCTCCCGAGAGGGAATGCCTATTAAACCCGTGCGAAAGCACAAGCCCAATTCTCATGCTCGCTCTGTTTAAAAGTTGCTGTTCTCATCAATTAATATATACAGCTATATAGTTGACTTTATAGCGAACTCTGTTAACTAACTGTATGGAAAGATGATCACTGCTTTTTGCTCCCATTGGTCACGTAACTCCTCCTTCACTGAGCGGTGCCTGCGCCATCTTTTTTAGTCGCCGCTGTCGGGTAGCAACAGCGGACCGCTGTGACAGCAAATCCCACAATGCTTTGCGAGGAGAGCTCTCTGCATGCAGCATTCTGGGCTACATCTGCCTTTTCTGAGGCCTTTCTTCTCATAAACTTGGTAGACATTTTTTCTCTTTCCCCGTTTTCAAAGAACCGTGGTGAGAAAGGTGAGCTGCAATGACTGTCTGAAACCGTAGCTCACCACAGATATACGCCTGAAAGTGCAAATGCGCAGACAAAGATAGCTAACGGGACGAGCACGTAGGACGGCCTTACATAAACATATCACCAGAGTGATTGACAGTTAGGAGGACCACTTATTTAGATGATCCACCTGGAAATAAAAGACAGTCCTCTATACCTTTAAGTATAGCTTAAGGTTTAAGTATTCAAAAGTCTCCGCTAAGTGCGGAGCCCATTCCCCCCGTCCTGCTCTCCCTCCGCTGGCTGGCGTCGGGGCTCACCGGTGCACTGGTGGAGCTGGGGGTGGATGCCCGGGTGACTGCTGGCTCATTCCTGGCGGCCTCTCCGCTGGCCCCGGCCGGCCGGGGCTTTGCTGGGGCTCCTGTCTGGGGATGGGGTGCCCTTGGGGCCTCGGATCCCTGGGGCCTGGGACTGGATCCGCTTCGGGGTGGGGCTGGGTGTTGTTCGGGGATTTTCGGGGTCGGTGCCGGTGCCTTCGCTACGATGCCGGTTCCTGGGCGGTGTTTCTTTCCTATGCCGGTTCTGTGGTATCGGTTCGGGGGGGGGGGGGAGCTGCGCGGCATGGTGGGGTGCGGGTCTTGGGTCCTGTTTTGGGCTCCGGTTTTTCCGCTCGCACTTCTCCTCTTGCCTATTTATTTTAATTGTAATTATTAATTAATTAATTTATTTACCTATTTATTTATGTTTTTTTTTTTTTTTTTCTCTTCCTCGGTGGGGGGGAGCGGTTGCGGGCGGGTCGGTGTCTGGTGTCCGCTGTCGCATTGTGGGGGCTCCTTTTTTTATTATTTTTTTTTTTTCTTTGGGGGGTTTGGCATGTCTGTTTTCTCGGGGGGCGGGCAGGCCTGCTGGGTGGGGGTCCTGCTGGCGGCGCGCCGCTGGTGTGTGGGGGTCCGGGCGGCTCCGGCGGGGGTAGTGTTGGGGGGCCTGTCTGGGCGGGCTGGCTGCGCTGGCTGGGTATTCGGGTGGGTTTTCCCTCCTGGAGGCATGGCGGGGCTGCTCTGGTCCCGCTGATCGCGGCGGGTGGGGCTGCGGGGCGGGTGGGGGCCTGGAGTGGCTATGGCCGGCGCGTGGTGGGGGGCCGGGGCGGCGGAGCTGCTCTGGCCGCGTGTCAGGGCCTGGTGCGGGCTGCGGGGGGGGGCGGCGGACGTGGCTGGGCTGCTTTGGCTTCGTCCGGTGGGGGGGCGGCGCGGTTCGCTCCGCTCTGGCTTTGTGCTGCCCCTCGGGCTGCTGGGGGGGGTGGTTGCGCCGGCTGCGGTCTGCTCTTCTTGCGGTTTTGCGCCGGGCAGCTTTTCTGCTCTCGGGCTGATTCTGTGCGCGGTGTGTTTCGTTGCGCGCTGTTGGCATCGGTCTTGGTGGGTTGGGGCTGCGCTTTTGGCCGGGGGGGCGTTTTGGGGGGGGTCCCGTGGCGCTCGTGGCCGGTTCGCGGCGAATGCGCGTGGGCCCCGGCCGGGGGCGGGGCCGCCTGAGTGTTTTCCTGGGTGGTGCGGTCGCGGTGGGTGTTGCGGCCGGTCGCCGGGGCTTGGTGCGGGGGGGCGGGGCGTGTTTCGGTGCTCTATGGGGCTGGGGCGTTTCGGTCGGCGCCGTGGGGGGGCTGGTGTTCGGTGCCCGGCCCTACTTCGGGGTGGCCGGCTGCCGGCGGGGCCCGCGGACTCGTCCCCGCGGCTCCCCGGGGCGCCGGCATGGCGGTGGCTGGGGGGCTTCTTCGTGGCTGTCTCTCCTCCTGCCTTGGTGGGGTCTGGTTTCCGGGGCTGGCCCCGCCTTGGTGCCTTCGCTTCTGGGGTCCCCTTGGGCGCCTGGGGCTCTGGGTCTCCCGGCGCTGGACTCAGTGCTCTGGGGGGTGTGCCTCTCCGGCTCTCCACAACCACTATTGAGCATTTTTTTCTATGGTTAAAACTTTACATGCACAAGTTCACCCTCACAAACAACTACAGGTGCTAGGCTTCAGGTACTTAGAGATTCACTTCCAAACAGAAACCCCACATTCATATCTTCAGGTAACACAGAGTACATGTCAGACTTAATAATATTACTTTAGCGATAGTTTCAAGGTGTTTGCTTTATTGTATATCTCATACCATGTTTTTTGGTTGTGCTGTTCTTTTTTTTTTTTTTTTTTTTCTCCATCTCATTACAGGTGTTGAAGCAGACTGAAAATGTTTTGTCATTGTCTCCTTCCTATCTCCTCTTTCTTTCATCTTTTGTCCTGTTTTTTTCTTTTTCCTTCTTCTTCTTCTGTTTTTCTGCTCTACTTACATTGCAGTGTCCATATGAACTGTAAAACTCCCTGCATAATTATAATAAAGCAATTTATATATATGAAACAAGTGGAGCGGTATGGCAATTGCGATACCGCTACACTTGTGAAAGTAAAATCTGTTGGGCTCCTTTTGGCATCAAGACAATTATTCTTAGTGCCACCTTGCCAGACAGGACACTGTAAAAAAAAAAAAAAAAAAAAAAAAAGTATTGCATATATATATATTTATATATATATATATATATATATATATATATATATATATATATATATATATATATATATATATATATATATATTTAGCCTTTTAGTATACTACTTTAGACAAAAGCCATGAATGTGTAACATAAACTTGGATAAGTAGCCTATGTCATTGATTAGATTAGATTAGATTAAACTTTATTGTCACTACACAGGTACAGGTACAAGGCAACAAAATGAATTGCCCGAAGTGCAATAGCAGCAAGTGCAGGATAAATAATGGTTCCATAAATACAGGAAATGGGTTTCTATTGAATGAGTATAGAGATGAATACCATTATAAACAGAATCTTACTAAATGAATATAATATATAGATAAGTAGTGTTATGAACTAAATTTACAGCTGGATATGTACCAAATATAATATATACTATGATAAGTATATAGCAAGTAAACTGAGAGCATAATATATATACAGTATATATAATATAATAATAAAATTCTATTTGGTATTTCACTGAAACCATTTTTAATCAACGTTAGGCTGTTTGGTTTAGCCTCTCTTTAAAGTGTTAGCATCAACCAGCTCAAGTAACTGTCTGAACAAGTGAAAGTGGATGAATAATATGCATCAGACAGGATAAAGGAACAAACTTTAATTTTTCCGTAACCGGCTGTAGAGGTTTTCTAGCTTTGGATGCTTCTTTACTGAAACCAAGATGTATTCAAAACACTCTGAAATGTTCCAACCTCTAGTTCAAAACTAGGATTAATTGTTTACATTCGGAAAGGTGACATTAAAACCTATTCAGCTTGCCAGCTAGAATTCATGTGAAGCTAGAATCTGCCTCATGCTTATCGTCACCATTAGTTTGGATGTTATTGTGAAGTTTATGCCTGACT